CTCTCTCTCTCTCTCTCTCTCTCTCTCTCTCTCTCTCTCTCTCTCTCTCTCTCTCTCTCTCTCTCTCTCTCTTCATAGCATCCCAATGCGGGCAGTCCGTCGCCTCGCACCCATACAGAGTTGTCACCCCGCTTAGTCCGAGCATGCAAGCCAGGTTCGTCGGTGCCTCACGGTCCGTCGCGGCCCCATGTCAACCCTGCATGCCCAGCACCAGCTCGTCGGATCGCCCAACTCTCTATTCACCTTCCAACTCTTGCTCGTTAGTCGATCCTCTCGACCACGCTAACTCCCAAATTCATAGAAAGCGAGTTAATCGTGCTTGCGGAATTTATAGCATACATGCTTGCGCGAGATACTTGGGATTGCGCCTGAGTGGGAAGGAAGGAGGAGGAAGGAAGGAAGTGCCTACGAGTACATGGCCAGGCCGTGGCGCCGGGGACCTAGCCACACTCCGCACATCGATCCGGTCATGCAAGCATTCATGCCAATAGGACAAGGGGAGAAGTATGCGCACACAGGGGCGCCACAAAAGATATCAAGAACGAGAGGATTACAGTTACGATCACGCCCGCCACAACAAAAATTACAGTTACACTTAAGATTAATGCACGGAAAAGTAAGAGCACAGATCCTGCCGCGGCAAGGCATGCGCAAGCAAGAAACGCCATGCAACAAAATTACAATGTACCTAAATTCCTAGCCTAAATCCTAATTACAAAAAGAAATTCCGAGAGAAAACAATTCAGAGAGCCCGCGGGGGCCCGACATCAGTTGAAAATTCAAAAGGATTTTCCCGTGCGACGATCACGCCAAAATTTCCACTTCCCACAACAGAACAAGAAAGAAGCTATGACAAGAGTTATCCTTCACGCTCGTTGAGGGACGATCAACTACCAACCGTCGTGGGACCATGCATGTTTCAATCCCAAAAAAACAAGAAAAGCAAGGGCAATCATGCAATCCAGCGGGCCATCCCGATTCAACCCCCAAAGTAGCCTTGCACAAAAAGTCGCGCGGTCGCAAAAAACAGTTCGTCACATATGTGACGCCCAGGGGGTTTCAATCTTGAGCAAGCTCCTGGTTGCTCTCTCATCAATCATCGATCCCCAAGAAACATTGGTGGTCGACGTGGAGCTGACACGTGCCATTTACCGTGAGATACAAGTGTAGAAGTTATCCAGATGGCATTCGCGAACTCCAATCCTAGAGATTGTCGCGGAAGGGTAATCTGATGACGGGTGGAGGAAGAGGGGGGTGAACTTGTGGGAGAGGTGGCAGAAAGCGACGAAGTTCGCGATCTCCAGTGGGGAGTCGAGTGTAGTGGACGGTGCGATTGATGCGGGGGAAGCGATGGTCTTGATGGGGTAGCGAGGCGATGTAGTCTGGGTAAAGGGTGAAGAGAGTGTGGGGAATCGCGGCGAGTAAGTCCTCATAATGTTCGCACTTGGGGATAGTACCCGCGATTATAAGAAGGTACGTACCCCTAACGCTCCTCCCCCTTCCTTCCTTCTTCCTCCCTTGTGTCCTTCTCCTTCCTCCCCAGCAGCGCTGCTCCAGTCAGCGCTCCACCAGTGTGTCGCCAAACTTGCACACCGAAAAAGAGGCCGGGCTCTTCGCCCGGCTGGGAGATATAGCGGCCTACTTGCCTCTTCGGGTGGTGACTTCAATGGAAGAGTATAATGGAGGTTTTGAACGAAGGGGACAATCAATGGAAACAGTGCGAGATGATTTGAGAAGTACACTGGTACAGATTTTAGTACGGGGCTGGTTGACTAAGTCCATTCCCCCCCTTGGGCAGGGGGAGAGAGCACTGGGTAGGATGATGTCTGGGTACTTGTGGCGGAACCACCAGTTGTGGTGCTCCGCCAGAGATAGAGATGGAGATGGAGGAAGAAGGGGGATCGAGATAGCACAACGCAACTCCCCACCCCAGACTCCAACGCACGTACTCCAAACTGTGCGAATGTAGAATGATACCGAAAACAGACAACTGTTGGGGTATACCCCAGCGGACTGACGGGACTGGACTGGACTGGACTGGCTGGTACCGACAGAGGTACTGACCTGGACTGGACTGTCCTGAATACAACACAGGCTTGTGAGAACAGGCGAAGGGTCTGGTTTCACAGGCCAACCAGAGGTCCGCTACACGATCCTCGACCTGTGATGGATCGCCTAGATACAAGCACGCTTCCGCCAAGAAGCGGAACTCTACAAAAGAAAAAGAAAACCTGAGTAGTCTAGGATGCGGAGCAAGCTCCATGCTGAGTCCATGTGATGCAACCTAGAATAAAAACTGTCACAAAACAGCAATGTCACAACCAACAGCCTAAGTGAAAGCAAAAGCAACTAACTAGCATACATGTCCTAGGAAAGCAGAAGCAACTAACTAGAATACATGTCCTAGGAAAGCAGAAAGTAATGACAACTAGATCCTAGAATGTTGGAGGCAGTAGCCTCAGTCTGGAAACAGCTGACTAGTGTATAAGTCCTAAGAACAACAAAAGTAGAACAACTAAATCCTACAAATGCCAGAGGCAGTAGCCTCAGTCTCAGAGCAACAAGCAACAACAAGTCAACCATATGTCACAAGAGAAGTGTGTCGCAAGCTAAAGGGTGGGATGGTCTCTGAGGGTGGCGAATGCAGCCTAGGGGTCGAAAACTCCTAAGGGCATCCACACATAGTGACAGGGGGGAACACATGTCATCAGGCTCAATGAGGGTAGGAAACTGGGAGCGAACAGAACCAATGACCCTTACAGATAGACCATCAGGGCGGGTAATGCTCGACTAAAGGGGTGACCGCTATGGAGGGTCGACCATGCAAGGGAACAAGGGAGCCTTGTATATTGGGCGCACCTAGATGAACCATGCGAGGCTACCTAACTAGGGTGTGAGGGCCGGCAGAGGGTGGAAAGATGACGGGTAAGGGAATCATGCAAATGACTCCTAAAGTGAGGGAATTCGGAGCTAGATCCGTAAGATGGGAAGTCAGGGCAACGCTACGGTCCCGATGCCTATGCGTATACCAAGGAAGAGCCCAACTCAGAGGAACYCGGCTAAAGGGAGACCATCATGCGACACAACAAGGGTACTATACAGGGTAAAGTGGTATGAGAGTGATGACGTCTGAAGTAGGCAGAGCTGATCGTGACGAAGTCCATGAAGTTGCCGATGACGTCCATGATGAGAAATATGGAATGCCGTCGAGGAAGAGCCTCAACGTCGATGAGCTGAAGTGGCAAAAACTGGAGTGGATGGAGTTATGAGAAGTCAAAGACGTGGGAGGGTAAGTCAGAGTCAATCGTCGTATCGAGTAGGACGACGACGAGTGCGTTGTGGACACTCAGAAGCATCCGGCAGCTGCTGAAGGTCTGCCTCAGATGGAGCAGGCTCGACTTCAGCGGTCTCCTCAGTCGGGGGAGAAGGAGGAGGGTCAGTAGGCTGAGGAGGAGCAGTGAACCCAGCATTACGAGCACGATCCTAGGCACGCACCAAGATGCGAGCGTGCTGCAAGTGCTCGAGGAGCTTCCAGGTAGCCTCCTCATCAGGGTAACCCTTCCAACGTACTAGATACTCGACGTGGGGAGGGTTGTCGTCGGTGACTCGGCGACCAACGATGTCTGAAACGAGGAACTCCTCGTGACCGTCCACCATGATGGGTGGAGAGCGCTCGTATGGTCATCCAACAAAACGCTCAGACGGTCTACGGTAAGGACGCAGTAACGAGACGTGGTAGACATCGTGCACACGAGTCTGGCGTAGGTAGTCGGGCAACTTCACACGGAAGCTGACCGGGCTGGATGTCGTATCAGAACCGACGGCCTGGAGGATGCGGCATGGGCCAAAGAAGCGACGCCGAAATTTGCGAAGCGTGTCCGCTTCGAGCTGTAAGTGGCGGGCGTCGATAAGCACATCATCACCGACTTTGAATGAATGATCCATCCTCGATCGGTTCGCACGTGTTGCCATGCGAGTCTGGGAAGCGGCTATGTGCTCATGTGTGGTCTTCATGATCGACGTCATGTGTGCAACCCAATCATCCAACGCGGGACAACTCGTGTCGGGGTGCATCTGGGACGGTCGCAGGAAGTCCGCGGGAACACGAGGGTGATAGCCGAGGTTGCAATAGTAAGGCGACATCCCCGTGGCTTGCGAAACGGCGTGGTTGTAGGCTATCTCTGTGTGGGCAAGATGGAGATCCCACTGCTGGTCGTCACGAACAATCTTTCGGAGAATATCTCCGAGAGTCCTGTTCGTGATCTCGGTCTGACCATCAGTCTGAGGATGGTAAGACGAGGAGAAGCGAAGGAGCCGTCGCCTGAATCGGCTGGTAAAGCGCGGGTCACGGTCAGATATGATGCTCAAAGGTAAGCCGTGGTCACGCACGACTCGGTCAAACACGATGTCGGCGACCTCATGTGCACTGATGGCATAGCGGCACGAAACAAAGCGTGCACGCTTCGTGAAGCGGTCGACAACGACCAGGATAGCATCATGACCATGGGGGGTCGGAGGATGAAGAGGACCGATAAAGTCCATCGAGATGGACTGCCAACGACCCTCAGGGATAGGAAGAGGCTGGAGCAAACCATAAGGAAGGTGGTTCACAATGTTCACCTCCTGACAGATGGGACACTTTGCAACGTAGTCCTTCACAAAGTCCTTGCGCTTCGGCCAGACGTACAGGCGGCTCACACGAGCCAACGTCTTGTGGAAGCCCATATGACTGGCGGCTGCCTGGTCATGGAACTCTGCTACTGCTCGGACGCGTAGTTGTCCAGTGGAGGGAACGCAAATACGGGRCTCTCTGRTGCCCTGTGAACCGTGCCAGTACACAAGACCGTTGTCCCCGAGAGAGTAGTTCGGGACGGTCTTGCCACTCCGAAAGGTCGAATGGATGTCGCGATAGTCGGGGCAGTGACAGTACTGAGTGCGAAACTTGTCGATCACCGAGTGGTGGACGGTGGTGACCGAGATGGAAGAGAGTTGGATCTGCTCCTGATCGTGGTCAGGGCGCCAGGATAAGGCATCTGCGACCCGATTAGTCTCACCCTTGATGTGCTCAGTGGTGAAACTAAACTCAGATAGGTTGCGCCACCAGCGAGCCTGTCAAGGAGTGAGCTTCGGTTGTGTCAGAAAAGTCTGGACAACAGAGTTGTCCGTACGCACCGTGAATGGTGCCTCGTGCGGCTAGTGACGCCAGTGCCGAGTGGCATAAACTACTGCGAGAACCTCACGTTCATCAACGGTGTAGTTTATCTCGGCGGGCAGGAGCTGACGGGAGTAGAAGGCTATCGGACAATCACCTGAGCGAGACTCGACAGTGCCGTCCTTGGCGATGGTAGGGGAATAGTCAATAGAAGACTCGTCAGGAGCTGGACGAGTAGGCATCAGGCGGGAGGCAGTGGTAGGGATAGGGGGTGGGAAGCGAGGGATACGAGGATGAGAGGAATCAGGAGAGGAGGGGAAAATATGAGAAAGCACTGCTTCTACGGCAAAGTCTGACACATCGGTGGTCAGGATAAAAGGGCGATCAAAATCGGGTAGGTGAAGAACTGGTGCACATGTCACCGCCTTCTTGAGGACGCGGAAGGCGTCCTCGTGGAGGGGTGTCCAAGCCCAGGGTGGGTTCTTCCGGAGGAGGGTGGAAGTAAGGATGTAGGAATACATAGCGTATCCCTGGATTAAATTACTATGGTAGCTGGTAAGGCCTAGGAAGCTGCAAAGCTGCTTGGCGGATGTGGGGACGGGTCACTCCGCAATAGCAGTGATCTTCGTGTCGTCCATGTGAACACCCTGGTCAGACACGTAGTGTCCTAAGAAATTCACTTTGTGCTGGGCAAAGCGGCACTTGCTCGGCTTGGCGTAAAAGTCATGTCTGTGCAAACAGTCAAGGACGTCGCGGAGGTGTCTGAGGTGCTCCTCAAGGATACGACTGTAGACCAAGATATCATCGAGGTAGACGAGAACGTACTGCTCTCGGATGTCCCTGAAAATGTCGTTCATCGCCCTCTGAAAGGTAGCGGGTGCGTTGGTGAGGCCGAATGGCATCACCGTGAACTCGTAGTGGTCGAAGCGCGATCGGAATGCTGTCTTCAGCTGGTCGGCTGCAGCGATGCGGATCTGATGGTAACCGCTACGAAGATCAATTTTCGTAAAGAAGCGGTTGCCTGCTAGGCAGTCGAACAGTTCGTCGGAACAAGGCATGGGGTAGTTGTTCTTAACCGTATAGTGGTTGAGGCCGCGATAGTCGATGCAGAGATGGAGAGTTTCATCCGCTTTGCGAGCAAAGAGAACGGGTGCACCCCATGGGGAGTTGCTGGGTTTAATGAAACCCAGTCTCAGGAGCTCCTCAAGCTGACGCTTGAGTTCGGTGGCCTCGGGGATCGAGAGTCGATAGGGTGCCTGGTGGTGAACACGATAGCCAGGCACAAGCTGGATGGAGTGTTCGACGTCCCGCATCGGTGGGGTGTCGACGTACGAGAACGATGATGGGAAAACGTCGTGGTACTCTCGAATGAGGTCACGAACTGCAGGCTCCAGGTCAGTTGTATATCATGCGAGTTCCTCAGTGTCAGCGTCGACGTGCGACGGCGGGGTGGACTCGACGGACGACGGAGGGACGGAAGTAGAGATGGGAGTCATGGAGATGGAAGGAGGATCTGGCTCCAGAGAGATGAGTTTGGCGTCGGGACAGGGTGGATCATAGTGTAAGAGATCCGTCATGTTCACCATAAAGAAGGTGACATCGTCCTGTCCGATGAATTGAGTAAATTGTCGACGCGATGTGACAGTAATAGAAGGAGATGGTGTGGGCATAAAAGGCTTCGGGGGAGGAGGATCGGGGCGTGGTGTCGCAGTGGTACCTATGAAAGGTACGTGATACGTTTGTCCACACTTCGTTTTGAGAACGAGAGTGTTGGTCGCCCAATCGGCCTCGGTGCTGCGGAACCAACGAGACCACGGAGTGCCGAGAATGAAGTCGTACCCCGTCTCCATCACATCGAAATGTGCAGAGGAGCGGTGACGACGAGACGTTGGGGGACGATCAGTCTGTTCGAAAGTGAGGAAGAAAGGGAGGTCGGTGACTGTCTGATCGAAGAAGCGCTGGGTCTTGTCATCCCCTAGGGTGACAGAGGTGGGAGTCGGAGACCCTGTCGTGGGTAAGCGGGCTTCTTTCACCACACGTGGGTGAGCGAAGTCGCCCTGAGAACCGAAATCCCGCAGCACTGAGTACACCCTCGTGGAGGTCCCCAGTCGTATGGGGATGATCGGGAGGGTGCGATCAGGGTCAGAGAGGATGGTGAGAAGGCGACGCAGTGCAGCGACATGGAGGGTGAGTCGCTCCTGACGAGCCTGGAGCATGCTCAAGTCCAGAAGAGAGGACACAGCTCGCTAGTAGTGAGCTGCTCGCTGCAATAGGTTGAGCGAATGGCTCGACGTGTCGGTAGTCGTTGTCGGTGCGAATACCCTTACAAGGGTATCCGCCGTGGTTTTTGCAAGTGACAGTAAATAGTTTTGGTTTAAAGTTTAAGTATACCGCGCCAGGCACGGCTGTGTCTGTAATTTACGTGGACTGGATGGTTGACTAGTATAGAGAGTGTGTGGGCGCGCAGACTTGAGGCGCGCGTGATCCTTTTAACTGTTGATGATTGAGGAGCCGGTGCGGTCGCCGACCGAATATTTTATGATTAAATAGGGACTAAAAAGACTATGTCTTGTTGACTGTTGCGCTTGCTTGTGACCTGTGTGTACGTGCGGGGAGCGTTGTCGAGGGTAGCCCCGGACACGACCAAGTAGGGGTAGCCGCGGCATGGTCGGTAGGTCGGCGCGGGTTCTTGGCGGCCGCGTGCGTAGGCGCAGGCTAGGGGAATGGCCCAGGGTGGGTTCTAGGCCCTGGATACCGAGGACTACCATTTTATATGGAGTTTTTGGCATGGTTGTTACAAGTTTGGGCTTAGCCCTATAGGTTACGGCATCGGATTGTTACTATGGAGGTTCGGGGATCGAGGCCAGTGGACGCCAGTGCGGCGGCAGCAGAGCAGCGCGGAGGAAATCGAGGGGTTGAGGACCTGGCGGGGCTATCCCCCTTTGGTTTTGTTGGCGGGCGCGGCGGCGGGCCCAATCCGCAGGGTTGGCAAGGTGCCCGCAGCCCCGCGGTTCCCCGCCTTCACCTTTATTTTATTAGTCGTGGTCCCTTTGTTATCGAGTCCCATTTTGGGACGCAAGGCGACAGTGGGGCCGTGTGGGGTGTGTGGCATTCGCGGGTCTGCCTGAAGTGCAACTACAAACTATTTTTGTAGCTATGCCGGAGCCGCGCCAAATACCGTTTTGCCTGGGACGCGACATCGGGCCTGCGGCAGGGTCGCGTGGAGGTGTGTTGTATTAGTAGGATTGCATGAAGTGCGATCATAAACTGGTTGTGTGGCTGTGCCGCAGTATGTGGACGGGCTGAGGCCAGGGGCCTAGCTCAGTGGGTACACCCCCCGACCAGATGAGGGTATTTGGTTAGTAAAGCCAAACAGTCTAAATTGCCTGGAGGACGGCCAGCTCAATGATGGTATCTTCGGGTCTGCGCCTGCGGTCAGTCCTTCGGGACACCCGTTGAAATTAGAATGATATAGAGGAGATTAGCATGGCCCCCATGCAAAGCCGAGACGTACAAAGCGGGGGACCCGGTCGAAATGATTGCAAGGCACTAAGGCGCGGGGTGGGCAGGCAGGCACTGATAAAAAGGGAGAGCGAATCTGGACGAGATTCGGTGCCGAATGCATGCGCAATGGGGAAGGAAGGTCGCAGTGGCGAGGGCCGTTTGGCCTTTGGCAGTACAACGGGGCACTACCTCGGCCCGGTCCTTCGGGACATCCATTAAAATTGGAACGACGCAGGGAGGATTAGCGCGGTCCCTGCGCAAGGCTGACATACATAAATCGGGGGACAGCCTGAGAGTTTCCGTTGTTGTTGGTGTAGCTCTCCGCTGTGTGTTACGGTCACACCAACGAGGGATAACGCTATGGAAAGCGGAGCGGGTCAGCACAACGAAGGGAGGAGGAGTGTACCTGGACGCGGGTCGCGCCAGGTGCGTTGAAAGCAAGGAGAGCCATGGCGGAGCGCTGCAGTCGGGCTAGCCGCCACAGTGTGGGCGCTGGTGGGTTGACGGGGAGAAGAAGGCGATAGGGGCAGCAGGCGCGGCGCAGGAACCGTAGCAGCAGCGCAGCGATAGCACAGTAGAGTCGCACGCTAAGGCCGTGGGGACTGCAAATGAACCGGGCGCGATTTCGCGCCGGGTACAGTCGGGGGTTGGCACAGCGGAGTATGGTGGAATCAGACGGGGGAACGCAGCAGAGGGAACTGGGGGCTATGAAGGAAGGGCGAACCTGGCTGGGTTTCGTGCCGAGGTACAGTCGAAGCAGGCAAGGGAGGAAGCGAAGGAGGAAACTGCGCAGAGGGACGGACGGGTGATGAGTGCAGAAACCGTAAAGCAAGGCAGGGAGACGCCGAGCTACAGCTGTGAAGGACCAGAGAGGGGGAGGGATTAGGCCAACAACAACGGGCCGAACCCGGTCGCGATGCTGTGCAAGATGCGTGCAAGGGGGGCGAAAAGAGGAAGTGGACGAAGAAGGCGGAGGAAAGATGAGTGAAAGAGGGGAATGAATCGGGACGAGGGATCGCGCCAGGTTCATTCTGAAGGAAAGGCAGGGGCGGTGGAAGGAAGATCGAACAACTAGTTCGATTCTTCACAGATTTAGGCCGGAGGAGAATGTAGGACGGGGTTTTGAGTGAAGGCAACACTGAATTCGTGGTTAGTTTTAGTGGTAAATTAGTATAGAAAGAGTTAGTAGGAGAATGGGCTGCGCGAAAGATGGCGGAACGAAGTAGATGGAGAGCAAGAAAATGCGTATCTCGCTCATTTCCGGATGAAATCGAGTGAGAGAAGATTGGATGTGGAGGTTTTGGCAAGTGACGAATCCGACGGCGGCCTTAGTTTGAGCTCTAAGGTAACGGATTGGGCGCCATGATGGTGGAAGGCTGCACGAATATATGGCGGTGTATATTTCTCTGTTCTGGTGGAAGATTCGTTCTCATTCTGGGCATCTGGTAAGCAGTGAATAGCGGGCTATACGGGTTTGTACGAGCATACCTACCGGACCAGAGGCGCCATCGAGATCTGAAGGGGGGTCGTAGGGGAGGAAGGAACTTACCGGGATAAAGCAGCCGTGATTATAGTAGGTTGTTGCCCGTCGTGCTTTGGCCCCTCGCCGTTACTTGGAGGCCCGCCGTTGAACTTAAGTCGGGTGTATCGTAGAGGGGAGCAAAACTGCGAATCAAACTGACCATGGCAGCATCGCGGGTGAGTTCACCCAGGTCAGTGGAGGGACGGGCCTTGGCAACCGAACAAGTTAAAAGCGAGGGAGAGAGAGAAGGAAGCTTACCTGTTTGCCCGCATTCTGCCTTACAGTTGTAGGAACCTGGCCGAGTAGAAGGCCAGGTACGTCTATGTTACACTGATAAGTAGCAAGACACGGGTGTGCGAGTGAGCGGGGCTAGAGAAATGGAAGAATGAGGCATGAGAGGGGGAGTCGAGATACACACCGGGATAAAGCCGACAGTGAGGACGAGGTTTGGTCACGGCGTATCTTCCCAAGTTTCAGTGGGAGATCTGTTCCCGATTTGTTTTTGCTTATTCTGACGGTCGGGAAACGGGTAGAAGGTTGGTAGTGGGATTGGTTACTTACATGTTGGTTGGTGCGTTGCTCCTAACAGTAGTAGTGTCCCTCCGTCTCTTTACACGCATGCATTCGGTCTGTGTTTTAGTGGAAGAGGCATTCTGATTTGCTTACATATGGAAAGGGGCATGTGCAGTGTATAGCACGCCAAGCAAGGAATTACAGTAAAAAACTGAGATATCAAGTTTCACTACTGTCTGACTTGGTGTGGCAGACTGAGTGAGAATAGCAGGCGCAACTACTAGGGTGGTCAAGACAGAGAGGGAGTGAAGGAACGAGGTTGGCGGTGGACTGCCATATCAGCAGCCTGCGAACTGGGCATGTTGTGGGGTCGCCGTCCTACAGAATTGGCATCAGCAGGCGCAGGTGACTATGGCTGGTTGTTGCCCGCTGCCCCACATCGCTGCGTACTGCGGGCATACCGCTGCGGACTATGGCAAGCTATGGCACATTGCTGCTGGCCGCTGCTTATCGCTGCAGCCTGCTCATTGACTACTGCGTACGACTGCATGCTGCGACTGGTTATGGTTGGCAGAGACATTTGTATACAAACTGCTACTGTGGTTGATTGATTGTGCATGAAATACCGTTGGGAGTTGTTGTTGGCGGTGCACAGGACTGCGGCTGCATACTGTTGCTGGTAGCTGCACATTGCGGCATATCTTTGCTGATCTCCGCTGAGTACTGCTGCTGCGTCTAAGGACTGTTACCGGCTGCTGGGCAGCGGCGATTGGGCTGAGGGGAGGTAATCAGACTGGACGGGTAGGGGGTTAGTGCTGCGATTTGGGAGATCGTCAGCAGATTGAGTTCAGCAGTTGACTCCAGTTCGACCAAGCTCCATCG